TATATCCTTACTTGGTAGTTTCAGGCAGTAATAATAGTAAAGCCCTTTTATTCCGAATTACGTGCAGTTTGTGATTTATGAATTTTATTTCTTATATCTCGCATTTCGGCGAACCTCTTGACATAGGCCTCCTCCAGCTCGAGCTCCATTGAGCTCGGTCTTCTGAAACTCTGTTCCACTATGGTCCTAAGGTTAGGCGGATATCGTCACTTGTTTTCACCATCTTGTTTTCGGACGCTCCTGGCCCCTGATGTCCCCTCTTGGATACCATAAGATTAAGTACTTGTTTGCTCCATTTACTTATTATACATCGTAGCATATGTCCTGTCCAACTCCATTTTAGATAGTCTATACGAGTTGTTATGTCCGTTACTTTTGTCTTCCTCCGCTCTTTCTGTTTTAGCAAGTTTATCTCTATGTTTGTCTGTTAATGTTCATATCTCGCAGCCGTATATCACGCAGGGGAGAATACAAGTGTTGAAAGTTTTTCTCTTTATATGTAAGCCTAGATCTTTGTTCTTCATTATTTCTTTCCAAGACCAGTATTTCTGCCAACCGCAGGGTATTCTTTTTTCCTTGGACATGGAGTCTTCAGCAGATATGATTTGTCCTAGGTAAACATATTCTTTCACATATTCGAACTTAGTTCCGTAGACCTCTATGTTGCTTTCTTTTAAGTTGGTCATTAGTGTTGTTTTATCTGCATTAATTTCTAAGCCTACTTCGCTGATTTTTTTTGTTATGTCTTACCATGTGTTCTAGTTTCTTAGCGTCTTCTTCTAACAGGACAATATCATCTGCAAATCTTAAATGATTGAGGCGGCTTTCATTGATTATAATATCGTAATTATCCCAGTTTAATCTTCTAGATGTGTGTTCCAGCACAGCATTAAAAAGCTTTGGAGATAATGGGTCTCCTTGTCTCACGCCTCTGTTTATTGGAAAAGGGTCTCCTTTTGACTCTTATTTAATACTGCTTTTGCTTTTTTTGTAGATGGACTTGATTATTTCTATATAGACATCATCCACTCCTTGTTTATAGACTCAGCCAGATAAATTTGTGTTTTAGACTGTAAAATGCTTCAGACTTAGTAAGTTGTTAAAATTTAGGCTATGATATATCTAACTAAAAACTAATCAAATTGGACTTCTTAGTCCGATGGTACCTTCGTCAGTAGTGAAACAGAAACTGTAGAGTTCCAAAGTTAACACATTTCCCTAGAAATTCTACAGTGGGGGTAAGGAGCAGGCTAGCATTAGCATGGGCCATACGATAAAGGGATAAGACAATATCGGTCCCACTATGCTATTCAGAAGCAAAGAAAAATATTATCATAACTAAGCACGGGGCATTCGTATGGTTCGGCCAAACTATGCTCCTCGCGCTGCTCATTCGCGCAATTAATCGCGGCGCTCCGCACTAGGTCGCTCGGGTTTGCAACTTATTGGATGTTTGTAAAATTGTTACAGCGTGCGAGCTATGCATATTTATTATAGTTAATTATATCAGTGTCATAAAAAGAATATACGTTGTCGTCGTCGAGATCCTTTTCTCTGTATATTATTTACTCATGTGATAATATGGCTGAATGATGATGATAGGTACAATATTTATGATTTTAAATGACACGTGACGCGCTTCCGTAACGAGCGTTCGATTCTTCGATTCGGACTGCTTTTGCGCGAGTGTGTGGCCAGACACTCGCACTGATATTGCAAGTCCTTTGACTCGCGCCCAAAAAACCGACAAAACAGGGAGCGATGGGCAAGACAAGTATTGTGGCCACACTACGTGTCTGCCTCCTTTCCTCGCTACTTCCCATGCCACTCGACGAGTGTGTGTTCGCGGGGTTACTGTACAAATAATTTGCTAGACTTGCAGACAGAAACGATAATACATAGTTTTATTAAAAATAACGATGTACACTATAAATACTAGGAATAAGCACAAGAGAGTTATGCAAGTTACTTGACTCTAAGGTCATTAATTCCTTTATGTAGCAATGTATAGGGGAAGAGCGGGTAATGGTAGTCAGCGGGTAATGGTGATCACCTACTTATCTGCAAAACTAAACATCCGCGAGTTACGTAAATGACATCTACACCTTGCTCTGTGCCCCCCACCCCGTTTTGAACGACCCCCACCAGTAACCGCCGCGTGTTTCGGAGTGATGATTGAGGTTTGTTTTTGCTTCTCGCAGATGCAAATTTTCGTCAAAAGAAAAAAAATTGTAAGTTTTGAATTTCATAATGTATCTAAATGAGACTTTTATGTGTTATTAGTATGACATTCAAAATAGTTATGTACACCGTTGATTACCATAATAATTTCAATTATTTTTTATTTCTGAATTTTTAGATATTAGTGTAGTTGCGGGAAATGGGAGTCAGGTGTCATCAGTCATTGCCGGTAAAGTAAATTAGTATAATGTGCCTATGCTCTTAATTTCATTTATGTTGTATACTGTTTTTTAGTTTTGTTGTAAATGCCGAAAGTACGGGTCAGAATTACCGAAAAGAGTTCCTGGTCTACCGATAGTTTGGAAAAAGCTGTGCAGCTAATTGATCAACAAGATTATTGCATTTTCAATTAATCCCAAACTACTTTCAGAAGAAAACTTTGTTGCAGCTGAAATTATCCAATCATAGTCTATTGCGGTTCAAGATAATAATGAATCTATTTCAGCTGCTGCCACTTATGCAGTACATGATAATATAAGCTCGACACCTAGCACATCAAAGCAAGCAGATCAATCACTTCCTGACATATCGAAAAAAGTAGACCTAAATATTTATCTGCAGAACAAACCTCGAAGAAAGGTTCTACTATATAAGAATTTATTAAGTTGCCAGAGAAAGAAGTATCTATCCCCAATACAAGACAGGGCCGAAAGAAGCAGCACTCTACAGTTTTAGCATCAACGCCAATTTTAAAAAACAACCTGGTAGATAAGGAAAATTATAACATTATAAAATCAGTACAAGTAAACGGCTTACCTGGACTGTACTGGTTGGGACTAAGCCAAAGGTTTATGTATAAGATTCGAAGGTTTATTATGTAAAGGTCGGACCTACTAACTGACTAAATAATAATTATATTTACAATCTTTTCCTAGCTTTAGTTTTCGCAAAAATATCAATGACTTCGGCGAAATCCAGGCTTGATGCGGTTTTGTTTTCAATTGCTATCATCGATAATTGTCGGACTGTCGGAGTCGAGTTTGGCCCATACTATTCCTTAAATATTTTTTTATTATTTTTAATTTGCTAAATGTCCTTTCAGCTGCTGCAGAAGTGACAGGAATTGTAAACAATAATACCATTGCTGTAAATACTAAGTCCATACTACAGTCCATGCTTGAGTTAATTGAGGTAAAACTGGGTAGTAAATATTAATAAATTGATGTGAAAAGCTAGGGCCTATTATATCTGAATATTTTCTTGGGAATTCGTCACTCTTTTGTAATAAAGTTGCTTCATCAACATGTAAAAAAAAATTATGTTAGAAAATCGAATATTTGACAGACTGCACTCGTACTAGTATAACGTGTATTTAATAGAGCTATTAACGTGTCTAGTACATTATTGAAAATCTAAATTTTGAATGTTTCTACTGGACCATCTAGTCGGATTTAGTTTTTTTAGAGTGGTGTCCGATTCGCCAGTGAATTTTGACAGTAGATCTCTACGTTTGATGCTGTTTTCGAAAAAGTTATACAAATCTTGCAACGTTGCGAAAAAATCTGTATTTCCACATAACTGCTAACGGCATCATTTATCACCAAATTTAAATTATGAGTGGCACAATGTACGTACTCTGCGTTAGGCTGGATATCCTTAATATGTTTTTGTACACCATTATACACACTACTCATCACACTGGCTCCATCATAACCTTGCCCCCCACACATTTTTTGAATCAATATTTTTGTCGATAAATTTGTAGTCACTTGGTTGAATAAATCTGCTGTGCCATGTTTGATGGCTGCATAAAAGCCTAGAAACACTTCTTTTAGTTCTATATCAATTGGCTGTCCATTTTCCGATCTGGTTATTACTGCATACCTCACAACAATGCTTAGCTGATCTATCTTCGATATGTCCTGTGTCGTATCCATTATGATGGTGAAAAACGGTGACGCCCTAATTTGTTCTAGTAGATGGATTTCGAGTTTGATCCCCAAGTTCTCAATAATTTCATTCTGAATTTTTTCCTAAAACATTAAAAGACGTAACTTAAAAAAGTCTTGATATTAAACTGTTAATTAATAAATAAAAATAAATATAATAAAATGATAAAAAAACTGAGAAATAATAATTATTACCTTGGGGCATATCCAAAACTTGACGCAAAATTTGAACATATCCGGCGACAAGCTCTACAAAGGACAGAAAATTTCCATGGTAACCTTATTGACTTAAGTCTTCTCAATGTCCTCTCAAAGCCAAACAACTCTTTGCTAGGGTAAGTACGATATCGAATAATCTTTGAAGAACCATTTTCCAAAATGATGCTTCTTTGCGAATTTTATTCTTAAGTTCCTTGTCGATAGTATTATTTTTTTTTCCAAAATTCATACGCAGCTCAAGCTTCCGTATGGCCACTTGAACAACTGTGTTGTTTAATTTCTTCTGATAAATGCTTCCAATTCCGAATTCCCGTACACCAAACATTATTCCTTTGTGAAGCAGATAACCAGCAGGATTGACAATAGGCAGCGTCTAGTATTTTAGAATAACACAACCAAAAACATATTTAGAACTTGAAACGTAGTACGATTTTGAAATACACCCATTGTTCTGGTTGACGTCTGTTGGAAAAGGTTCTGAAGGCTGTAAATGCCCCATATTAAGAATTTCACGTTTATCGTTATCACTTAATAGGTATTTTGTTTGTGTAGTTTCCCAAGTCATAAGTAGATTTATCGTACACATTTTCGAAAAATGTAGAGGTCTGTGGTTCCTCCAAATCCTCGACTCTTATGTGTGCCATGCAAACATCATCCACGTTCACATGATCGGCGGCGGAGGTATCTATAACTGCAGTAATTGTCAGCTTCAGTAGGCTTCTCATGCAAAACTGCAGCCACCACATTATGTCCAGAAGTACTTGCAGAGGGCTGACTAAAAAACTTGCCAATTTTGGGCAATTTTTGTTTATTACCTTCTCTTTCTTGTCGCTGTTTGTGATTAAGTGCACCACTGGGTTTATTCTTTTTGTACATAATTTTAGTTTTCAAATTTATTTATGCAATATTTATATTAGATTGTACCCGAGTTCACTGTTTACTCACGACGTTAAAAGTAAAAGGAAGGAGAAACGTAATGATATGCTACAAGACGTCGTTGGGGAATCCCCGGCGAACATTGTATCGCTGCTAGTGTTACAAAGGGTATATTCCAAAATGTTTTCAGTATACTGCCGAATACAAATGACGTCATCAATTGACACTATATTGTACTGGCATGCCGTCACCATATTGTGTCGGATATCCGGATATAATAAAACAATTTTTATTGTGTGTACGCTGAATGAATTATGCCAGAATTTGTTTTTATTTATTCAAATACAAAATATTATAGAATAATTGATGATATCTCCATTAGGAGGATATAATGATTTTTGGAGCACAAAATGACAAAATAATCGCCAACTGTCCTATGTTTTGGAACGATTCACCAATATAGCGTCGATTCATGACGTCATTTGCATTGGACAGTAATTGGGTTCTATTTTGGAACATACCCCACATTTAACGGTGAAGACCAAGAACGATCTCCTCGCGCGCGGGTCTGAATTAATGCACCTACTGTAGGTGACCTGCATTTTTTTTTTCACAATATTTCGCGTTATAGAATGAGTACCCGAAATCTACAAATTTGACATGATTTATTGACGTAACGGATAATAATATGAGTGGTACTAAAATCGAATAAAATTGAATCACTATATTCACCAGTACTAAAACGTTTATTGACATTAGCCTACTTATTCCTGATACAGCATTAATTTTTTAACCGTTCTAGGAAAAAAATCTTGACTCGAATTCATAATAAAACGCACATCGGTCGATGAATAATAAAACGCACATATCGTTATCCGTCAAATTGACAACACTGCCACCCACAAAAAGAATTTAGCGAAATTCCCTTGGTAAACTTTCGAATTTCTCTCAACTGAGTTGCCATGGTTAAAGTCGGGTTGCAACCTGTCATATTTATTTTGAAAATGGGAGAAATTTTCAAAAGTTCAGTTCGATCGAGATTTTCTGGTAAGAGGGCCGAGGGGTTCGAGGACCCCCTGAATTTGAGGACCCCGGGGCACTGCCCCGCCTAGCCCCTAAGTAGCTACGCAACTGCATGTATACGACCTACGTTGTTTTAGGCCCAATAACCGAGTATAGTACAATTCAATAGAGATCATATGACACACATCTGACCTCAGAATTGTACGGTTGACGCGGATTTTTTGTGATTTTTAGTTTTAGAATGTCATATTACCAAACCAGCCAACAATCCATTCATGGACACCTGCAAAAAAATTTGTTCCCTAAAATGCTCAGTCAGTTTCTATGTGATAGAACGTCTTTTATTTTATTATGCAATTATGCGCTAAAGCAGCAAGCTTTGAATGCACTTAGTCATGCGTTACGTACTTATATAATATGATAAACGTACGGCACACAATAATTGATAACGATAACGATAAAAAGAGATAGCTATAAAATGTTAGAAATAGTAATATGTACTTATTATAGATTCATTTATGGCACCAAAGAGAATATTATAATAACTACGTTTACACGACACTAAAGGTCGGCCGAGAACAGTGGAGAACAGTTTGTCAACTCGTGTAGGTTGATACTGTGACGGCCCATCATTATTAATAATAATTAATTTATATATAAGGTAGTAGCTCAGATGGTTAACTGGTAAATATAACAGAACGCGAGTAACCCGGGTTCGATCCCCGCCGGCACAAATAAAATTTTTAATTGCAATTTTATGCTGATTTACCACGTGCTCAGCGGTAAAGGAAAACATCGTGAGAAAACCTGCATGTCTGAGGAATAGGAAAAAAAATTATTTCGAAGACATGTGAAGTTCGCCAACACGCATTGGGACTGCGTGGCGGACGCTTCTTTGCCCTAAAACGCAGTGGGACGTATATAGGCTGTAACTTTACTTTACTTTTTACTTTTATATAACGGGGCCTCAAAAAATAATCTTAAAAGATATATATTAAATAATAAAATTACATTAATAAGCATAAAGTTAAAATAAACACATTTCAGACATTAAGTATTATAGTAAACTAAAGTCAAATATTTTGTCTTTCATAATATATAAATTTATTAAAAAAAACTTGTAAAAATATTCAAAATGTGATAAATAATAGAAATACAAATCAAATAATATTATAAAAATAAAGACAAATAACATTTATAAAATAATTGGAAAATTGGTTAAAAATTGTCTTAAGACCGATTTACACTTCGACAAGTACAGTAGCGAGTTAACTTGCGAAAATCGCGTTTGAACGGCAATAAGCGAGTTAAGTAGCAAGTTAACAATTAATTACGTTGAACGGGATAGCCGGCCGGGCTATTTTTCGGCGAGTTAAGTGCGAAGTGTTAAAGATAAGAAGGTCTAGAATACAAAAGCATTATTATAGAAGGACTCTATGATGTATAAGCATTACAATACCAGAATTGTTGGTTGAAGTCCCATATATTAAAGACATATAATAGTAAGGTCTATGATACAAAAGCAATACTATAGAAGGTCTCTATGATGAATTAGATAAAGCAAATATGTGCAAGGTCACAAATAACTAAAAGCATTATATTAATAGTAATGGGACTTGAAAAGGATTATTATAGTGGCGTGTATGCTGCTTCACGAGCAACTGAGAACGTGGTCAAACTTGGACTCGCTAACCGATGTGTCCTAGTCCTAGACGATATGTCTAGGATCTTAGTGCCGATGGTAAACTGGTTTGTTGTAGCAATACCGTACCGTATATGCTCGCATGGAATAATATATATATATATATATATATATATATATATATATATATATATATATATTCCAAATATATAAATACAAGAACTACATAATCACATAATTTATCCTAATGATGTTCGAACGATTGAGACAAGTAATGCTCTTTAAGACTTCTTAAAGCATTATTACGCTTAAAGAATACGATAGTTTGTGCTTCGCCTATGCAAAGCATGCACATGTAAAGGTAGGGCATTCCACACCTTAATAGACCGGACAGTAAACGATTTATTAAATAAAGATGTGTAGTGAGTTGGTACCCTTAAAATGAGTTTCCTTGAAGAACGTAGAGGTTCCCCTGGATACCTAACAAAACTAAACTTCTCCTCTAGATAAGGAGGAGTAGAAGGGTGAAATAAGACACAGTACAGAATAGAAAGAATATGCATATTCCAGCCAAATTGGGTAGATAACCACTTGAGACGTGAGCGAAATTGGGAAATATGGTAAAATTTGCGCAATCCAAATATGAACCAAATACTAGTATTTTGAAGTCTCTCAAGCTTAGTTAGCTGGTCTTTAGTAATGTCTACATAGCGTGCGTCAGCATAGTCGAGAATCGGAAGGAGAACAGATTGTGCGAGCATAATTTTTGTAGGAATGGGAAGAAATGATCGAAGGCGGCGCAGTGAACTAAGAGCGACAAAGGTTTTCTTACTTACCTCATTCAGTTAGCGTTTCCAATTTAAGGAACTATCAAGGTAAACACCAAGATTTCTGACATTGTCAAAGTAAGGAATTACAACCCCATCGAATACAACAGGTGGTATGGAGAACCAGTCAATTCTTGAGATAAAGCTCTGACTACCAAAAATGATAGCCTGTGACTTTTTAGGATTAACTTTTAGGCCATATGATTGACTCCACTCATGAATCATATTTAAGTCATTGTTTAATGTAGCGATTGCATTCGGCAAATTCTCAAAAGTTGACTGGGTGTAAATCTGGACATCATCCGCATACATGTGGTAGAGAGAATAAATTTTATGAGTATTTAAATTAATGAAAATGGAAAAGAGTAAAGGTGACAACACGCCACCTTGCGGCACGCCTGCAGTAATATCACACCAAGATGAGTGAGTTTCATCAACATGAATACACTGCCGACGGTCACAGAGATAACTTTGAAAACAGCCAATTACTGATGGAGATATGTTAAGGGAATACAACTGACTCAACAGTATATCGGAGTCAACAGTATTGAAATCTAACAAGGTCATGACCGTGAGTTATTTATTATCCATATCCCACCGTATGTCATCAGTAACTTTAATTAAGGCAGTAGCCGTACTATGACCAAGACGGAAACCGGATTGTAAAGAATTCAACAAATTGTGCTTATTAAGGAAAAGCGTCAGCTGTTGGTAAATAACTTTTGAGTGTAACAAGCATACTCAACTTCATGTTTTAGTGCATTAGCGCTATGATACGTGGAGTTTTGTTCACTGGCGTCTTAGTAGCGTTGGTGTTATTTTTTAGTTAACAACAATACAAATTTTGTTACCAAAGTCGATAGGGATCATGTGGGTGTGTTGTGAGGGAGCGCCATTCGTATCATAATTGCATCGATGCTTACTGCCACTTGCGGTATTGCGTCTTGTGATGGATCTGCGGGTGTGCTGCGCCTGATTCCACGCATGCTTGTGGTTCTGGTCGATGGAGGTATGCAGGTGGGTGGTGATATCTTCTGGGAGGTATTGGGGACCTTGGCATGGTGTAAGCCCGACGACAGTCGTATTGACGCTTGTTGCGTTCTGCAGCATTGCGTCTCTGCGATGGTTGTTTGGTGGGACGCTATATTCAATGGCGATCTCTGCGTCTTGGTTTAACTCACACCTAAGTAGCTTTGCCCAAGTCGGGTCCCTCCATTACGGGGCTGCAGACTGTTTGACCTCCATGATGTTTTATATAACAACATAATAATATACCACTGTAACTTTCCCACCTTTGAATGATTGAAGGCAACTTGTTGGTGGGTGAAACAAACATGATCGAAAATGCATTTACTCAACGTCAGTGACACAAACCCTTTCTGATGACGAATTATGACTCTTATCTTATAACTGCCTTTTGGCTATATCTGCCGTTGTATTGGTAGGTGGAGCATATGTGTCGACCTCATGCGGGTGGTAGCTGGAGGGAGGATCTGAGGAGACTCTCA